CACACACACACACACACACACATCGCACGCACACACACACACGCACTCACACATTCGTAAAAGGCATCGCCGGCCCCGATGAGCTTCCTATGTAATGGCATGGTCAACAAACTGGCGGACTGCCCTAGCGCCCCGTCTTGCCCTATGGACACTGTGGGGGGAGGGGAGGGGGAGGGGGTTGATGTCCTCTCTGATCGATACCTCTAGTCTCTCTAGAGAATACATTATTGCTGACACCACGACCGCTGATCGATGCTGCAAGACAGACAGACAAACAGACCGGAGGGGAAGAGGGAGGGGGGAGGGAGTTTACAATCCCACCGCAAGGCAACGACGCAACATGGCCGGGGGCGATAGGGGGTTGATGGAGGGGTGGGGGCGCGTTCTTTCTTGGCCCCGGGTGGCCCGGCCCGCCCTGCCGGCCCCGGCGTTGGCCCAGTCATAGAGTCCACAAGGCCACAACGCCAGTCGGCAGTTCCCACGCAATGAGAGCACCAAACTTTGCAGGTTAATTGTCAAGCGCGGAAAAACAAAAACAGAATCGAACTGCGCGGCACGGCGGCACGGCGGCGAGCCCTCTACGCCACGCCGCGACGCTATCAGAGGTCGTTCTCAATCAGCCGCGCCTTCTTGAGGGTCCTCCTTCTTTTTATCGGAGTGGGTTTCCGTGCTGAGCAAAATCGGAACCGCCCGCAGAGCCGCAGAGAAAGGCTTTCCGACGGCGTGTCGAGTGGCTCTCGGCTTTCGGCCGCTTTCGGCGACGACACCGCGACAATGCCGCGACAACGCCGCCCATCGAACTGTTGAGTAATGACCCAGCCGTCGACGCCCCGCCCCGCTCGGCCCGCCCCGTGGTCCCATGGCAGCGGTCCGGCTGGGCGCGCCGCACGCGGCCACACGCCAACGCTCCATTCGTCCAAATAATTAGGCGCGAAAAAAGAAACAAAAGAATGAAGAAAAAGTGGCGCCGGAGATTTATGAGGCGTGCGGTGCAATCGAACGGCCAAAGCCGAGGGGCGGGCCGGAGGACGGGCCGGAGGACGGGTCGGAGGACGGGCCGGAGGACGGGTCGGAGGACGGGCCGGAGGACGGGTCGGAGGACGGGCCGGAGGACGGGTCGGAGGACGGGTCGGAGGACGGGCCGGAGGACGGGCCGGAGGACGGGTCGGAGGACGGGCCGGAGGACGGGTCGGAGGACGGGCCGGAGGACGGGTCGGAGGACGGGCCGGAGGACGGGTCGGAGGACGGGCCGGATGACGGGCCGGAAGGACAAATTTCGAAATCGGTATCGGACCGGATAAGGGTAAAGTGGGTAATGATTCTTCTGATCATACCTTGGTTCTCTGATGAAAATTATTGGGAGTTTTCTGATCATGGCTGCAACTAACAGAAAACATTGACCGGGGAAGACAAGAGGGATTTACAATAGAACAACGACGAAATGACCGGGGCGAAGGGTTATGATCGCTATTTCTTGCCCTGGGCCCCTCGGCCGAATTGGATCTGATCCACAAGGACAACGCAGTGGATTCCAGAATGAGAGTTCATTTGCAAGAAAAACAAAAACAGAATCTGAACCACGGGCGACCCTCTCGCCACGAGCTATCAGAAAAGCCTTCTTGAGGGTGAGTGTCTCAAAAATCAGAAGCCTGAGACCAGCAGAGAAAGGTTTCCGAGGTTTGCCTCGGTTTCACTTTGGTGAGAACGGAAATGCCGCGACAACGACAACTTTGAGCTAATGCCGGCGATTTGGTCAAGGTCCTGAGGAAATTTGTCCATAATTTCTGAAAAAGAAACATATAATGAGAAAAAGTGGGCGAGATTTAGACGTAACAACGGCAAGCCGAGGGGCGACCGGAACTCGGAGTTTGGACCGAACAGAGCGGTTGCCGAGGCGCCGTACGTGTCGGTCGTGAGGACAGGCCGGAGTCACGAGATCGTCCGATTCGATAATGACGAATTCGGAGGTACTGCCGGAGGAGGGTCGGAGGACCCGGAGGGGTCGGAGGACGCTGTCGGAGAACGGGCCGGAGATCGGTACGGAGGACGGGCCGGAGGACGGGTCGGAGGACGGGTCGGAGGACGGGCCGGAGGACGGGTCGGAGGACGGGTCGGAGGACGGGTCGGAGGACGGGCCGGAGGACGGGTCGGAGGACGGGCATGGCGACAAGGAGGAGGGCGTGCAGGTGGAGGCGGCTGGGATGGCGACGGCCGGAGACGGAAATGTGTGCCGACCGCCCCGCCCCCCCCTCCGGCGCAGCATATTTTAGGTGTTTAGGTGTGAATTTGTTTGCTCAGCCCCACAGCCCAAGGCCCTCCCAGTGCCCTTGCACGGCCGAGGACCGCCACCGCCACCAGGCCCTCTCACGCCGTGGACGCTGCCGCGTCGAAGGGCAGCAGGGCAGGCAGGGCTGGGCAGGGCTGGCGCTGGCAACGCTGGCAGGGCCTAAGCCGCAAACATAGCTAATAAAGTTCCATGGAGTGGGGGTGGCCGCGGGTGAGGCAGGTTCGGGCCGGCCACCAGGGCGGGGCGCGGCGGGGCCTTGTTGTTGTGGCTGAGGGTTACGCGCGCCTCACGTAATCCGGCCTCCTTTCCTTTACAACCCGGGCTAGTCGTCATCGGGGTGGTCGGGCCCTGGCCGAACCCGAACCTGTCCGTCGTGATGCGGATGCGCGCCGCAAACTCCCTCCATTTTGCATGACTGCCCCGGCGCCACCGCAGCCAGGTCAGGCGCAGTGAACGCCACTGATAGCCTTAGTCTGGTTGCGAGCAGTGCGCTTCGTCACCGCTCCGCCTCTCTCGCACCCGTACGGAGCGCGCCGTGAGAGCGAGAGAGAAAGCATCCTGCTCCGAATCAGCGGTGCTGGCTGCCCGGCTCGGGAGTCGGGGGTATTGACTTATTGATGGCTCCGCTGCCTCACACTGGCGCGCGCCGAGCGAGCAGAGTGGAGGGAGTGGTACTTCGTACTTGGTACTTCCCGCCTGGGAGTGTTGGCTAATTTACCAGTCCGCAAAGGTCGACGGGCCGGTGCGGTTCCTTCTCGCTAAGGCCGGCCAGAGCTAGCGAGGCTAAAAGTGTCTCGCGGTCGGGTTGTCCGGACAAAACCAGCGGCCTCCGGTCGTGCGCTCCACGGCGTCCTCCACGGCGTCCTCCAGGCTGGCGGTGTAACTCGCCCCCAGTGGAGGGATTTATTAAGATTAGCGAGCGAAATAGCGGCGGTATTTAATCCGCGTGGACGTGCCGTTTGTTTTCCCAGAGTGTGCTAATTTGAGCGAGCCCCGCGAATCGATTATGATTCCGTGAAAAGAGGCGACTGCAATCAGCGCGACCGAACTCGCTGCTGCTGGTGACGTTGTTGAGATTGTTGTTGTTTGTGCTGTTGGTGCTGTTGCACCATGCGGCCAAATTGGCATCGGCTGCTAGTGCAAACTATGCACTTGGTGCATTGGTGCGCTTGTTGTCTAGTTTCCATTCGCTGAACGAACTCGGCGTCGCTGAGAGACTCGGCGCGGCATTCCGCGCGTTCCCCGGGGCAGACCAGGCCGGCCAGGCGCGCCACATCAAAAGGAAAGAATGGCGATTATTTTGCGGTTCCGGCCGTCTTATTACAAGATGAAAGCACTGCGCTCTCCGGCCGGCCCGGCCAGACCGCCCCGCCAGAGTCTTTCGAGTCTCTTCCACCCCCAGGGCGCCCAGGGCCTCGGCACGGCAAACATTCCTACGTTCGGAAACCGGAAGTGCCGACACATCGAGCCTCGGGTTCAAAAGCGACATTTCCGTACATTTCGCCCCGCCTCTTTTGTTTGCCTAAAAGCGAGGCCGGGTTTCACCCAGTTTCACCTCTAAACGGAGGCGCGGTCCGCATCGGCGGCCTGGTGGCGGCGGCGCGGGGGCGGCGCGGCGTGGCGGCAAAAAAGGGCGTCCAATCTGCTAATTCGGATTCGATCCGCCGTAATGAAACCCGACTAATTAGATGACGCGGGCCAGCTCCGCAGCAGCGCAGCGCGGCAGCGGCGCGGCGACAGAGGAGCAAAGTTCGTCATCACCGTGTTTGTCAGCCGGTCAGCCGGTCAGCCCGTCAGGGCGTCGGCGGAGCGAGCATTGTCAACTCAGTCCGACCCAGTCCGCCAGCCAATGCCGCTAAAAGGGCGCGCGGCGTCCACAATACACAATCCGCACCCGAAAAAAGGACACACACACGCGCACAAACTCACACACTCACTCTCGCACCCTCGGCGACGTACCGTCGTCGCCGCGCTCCATTGCAGGCCGTGCGGTCCCACGCGGCTCCCCAGACGACGTCGCACTGCAGGGCCGCTCTCTTTCGCCCTATCGCGCGACCAATCTTATCGAGGAAACCGCCTGGACACTACACTGGATGGACGACTACCGCCATCCGCCAATCTGGCGCGCCGATCCGCGGACCAGATAGTGGGAATCTTTGGACGGGCGTCACGCGGAAATCCGACGATGATCGGGCTAAGCCGCCGCCGGCAGCCGTCAGGCAGCCGTGGGGCGGTGGATGACGCCTCGCCACGCCAATACCCCGCCCCGCCCCGCCCCGCCCCGCCCCGCCCCGCCACGCCACGCCCCGCCCCGCCACGCCCAGTCACGCCACGCCCCTGGCCGGCGTTCGAATCCCGGCGAGTGATACGGCGCATTAGCTGAGTCAACGCGAGATAAGCATCATTATCAGCGCGACACCTCTGATGTCCTCTGTCTATCCCGGGCGCGTTAAAAAGGGCGCCAAATGAGATGCCATGCAGATTTATGGGCCGCCGGATAAGGGCGGCGTAATCAGATAAGCGGGAGTGCCCTCAGCATTAGTGCTAATCTGGCTCGTACAGTGTACAGTCCGGCCTGCGCCGCGCGTGCGCCGCTTCCAGTGTGCTTCCAGTCTGGCGAAAACTCTCTGCTCGCCACGCGGCGGGAGAAAAGTCACTTGCGAGTCACAAAACGAGCCTGGAATTGTATCTTTTACAGTCATCAGCGCCTCACCTATGACATAGGAGTATCCGTCCAGGGTGAGGACGCACTTCCTGGGCGATGCGGCCGCCAGCGAGCCCCGGGTGGGGTCACTGTTGCACTTGTGGACGGGCGGCTTGGACTGCTGGTTCAAATCCATGGCGTGGACACTGCCCTACGGCCTGGGCCCCGGCCCGGCCCTCCGGCCTCGGCCTGGCCCTACTGCGCGGCCCTACCGCCTTGCTCGCCCCGACGTGGACTCGGCGACGCGTCAACATGGCGGCCCGCGACGACGCCCCGCCATGGACGCCGTGGACGCGCCGGCGACGGCCCGGCGACGCCCAACATCACATCACGGCGCGGCCCGGCACCGCGACATGGCCCCGCCGGCCCCCGCGGAGGACCCGACCAAGGCCCCCGGCGACGACGAGGCCCCCGACGACGACGAGGCCCGCGACGGCGGCGGCCGACCCGCCACAGGTGGTGGGCTCGCGGCGGTGCGAGGCGGCACGGCGCCAACGGACACCGCGGACACGCGAGACACGGGCGGCGCGGGGCGGTACGGCGGCGCGGCACGCGACGGCCACCACGCGACACGCGCACGGCGAGGCACGGCAAGGCACGGCACGGCACGCCACGGCACGGCGGAGGGCGCGCGAAACCGCCGAGGCTGCTTCTCAGAGGAGCGCCACTGCGAGACTGGCTAGTCTAGTCCTCGCCGTGGAACGGCGGAGCGGCGCGGGAGGGGAGGGGGGCGTGCTGCGCGCCCTACGCCCCCATGGGGACCGCGAGGGGAGGGGAGGGGGTCAGCGATCAGCTGTGGCACACCAAGCAGCAGACATGTGCTCTGCAGTGGGAACTGGGCCCGGGCATGGCCTGGGCGAGCCCCGCGAGGGAGCCCCGCTCGCCCTAGGCTCCCCTTGGCTACCCTCCGCTCCCCAGGGCGCCCCGGCCGACCCAGCCCGATGCCCGCCGCCCCAGTGTAGCCGTGTAATGGCGGGAACAGGACAGGCCGGCGAGTGCGAGAGAGACAGCGCACACCGCCAATTAGGCCTGCACAATCTAGCACAATCTAGCGGAGCCGCTAACACAGACAGAGAGAGAGACTACGAAGAAACACGCAGACCTACGCCGCGGCGCTTCTAGTCAGCTTTCTGCGAAAGAGAGAGAGAGAGAAAGCGAGCTGGCTACGAGCAAGAAGAGGACGAGGGGGCGACGAATCAGTGTGGCCAGCGTCGTACCTACGACGTTGTGTACTTCCTGCAGTCCCAGCGCGCTCGCGCTCCCTTTGGGAAACTTGTCGTCTCAGTTTCGGCTCTGTTCACCCCCTCCACTCCCTCAACAACAACGGCGACGACGACGGCGACGTGACGCCGTGGCGCCGAGCCGAGCACAGTGTAGTGCGAGCCGCGGGGGTCAACGGGCCGGGCGGGCCGACCGGGCGGGCTGCTTAGCCCGTGGAGCCCGTGTCGCCTTGTGCCGCCTCATCACGGCATTGTTGTCCCATCAGGCACCGAGAACAATCGAACAATCGAACCGGCCGACGAAGAAAGAGCGACGGGCGGACGGACGGACGGACGCGCGGGCAGAAAGGCGAGTGTGCCTCACGCGTGCAGTATTAATGCCGAGGCACGCGGAACTCGGTGATAGTTGATCATGAGAAATGCAGCGGCGGGGCGGCGAGGCGACAGGGCGCGCCGCGCGGAGGAGGAGGAGGAGGAAGACTGGCAGGAGAGAGGGAAAGGAAAGCGCAGATGGCGGACGAGACGGAAGGGCCTGGGGCGCAGTGCGGCGCAGTGCAGCGCTGCGGCGCACTATTTCGGGCCGGCGAGTTTGGCGGCGTCCCGGTGAGTGTCGCCGCCGTCGAGGGCCCCGCCCGGCCCCGCCCGGCCCCGCCCGGCCCCGGCTGGAGCGCGGCGTTCTCCGCGGCCAGCAGAGCGGCGTCGTTTCTGACAGGGTCATTTCATTTTCGTGGAGCGCCGCCGCGGCTGTCCGCGCATCGTCCCCCCCCCCCCGGGCCGAGACAGTTTAACAACCGCCTTGCCTCGCGGCGACTTGAACTTGGCCGGACGTCGTTCATTAGAGACAGCAATTACCACCTCGTCGGCCTGTGCGTGGAACTAACTCACTACTACTCACAGTTGTTTTCTAACACACATTGGATCGCTAGACGATCGACGGCACGGAGTACACAGGGCTGCCACGAGGGCACAACGGCTACGAATCGATAAGTTACGACATGTAAGTACAGGACGGTGTAACACCACCGTTCGTGGGGGTTCGATAAACATCCATGCAACAACCAGACAGTCGGCAAGGCGAGAGCGTAGCATAGGAGAAGGTGTGCTGCATTCACAGTGTCGTACGGGGAGGTCTACACTCGGGACGACGGTTGCCTTACGGTCCTACACAATCTACAAGTTTTCACACCGCTACGCACAGGGGCCAGACGACCGGGGCAGGCGGTCAAAAACCCGGACGCGTTTTGAGCTCCAGAGTCACTAAATGGGACTCGAGCCGAACGTATGACCCCACCAATGGATTGCTCTCCGAGCGAGGAGCCCATTGGCGGGGTCACGCGCTCGGTTCGAGTCCTGTTTAGCGACTCTGGAGCTCAAAATGCGTCCGGGTTTTCGACCCGCCTCCACCGGTCCCCTGGACCTCTGTGCCACGCCGCCGTGTCCGACGCTACGCTAGAGGATCGTGCACTTCCTTCTCCTTACCGTACGCGTTGACGTGCCGCAGGAACACGCCAGCCCGAGCAATAAGGTCCTGCAACCGAAGGCCTGCTTCACAACCTGAGCGACTACACAGCGCGCAGCAAGGCGCAAGGCGCAGCGACGCCATGGCGACGCCCAACACAAGACAACGAGACCGAGGCCGTGGCGGCATAAGGCCACCGCCGCCGGCCGACGCCGCGGCGCTCCGCAAGCAGCGTGCAACTACCGGGGTCAGAGAACGGCGCGGCCGAAAAAATAAATTGAAAGAAACGCCTCCAGCGCCAGTATTTGAACCCGAGACCCGCTTCTCATGCCGCGCAGCGGGTTCAAATACACCTGCAGCTGAGGGTTCATTTAAGTTTTACAATTACAATTATTGTTTCCATTTATTTTTGCGTTTTGGTTGATTTTGCTTTGCCGTCCCGACCACCACGAGCCTGCTAACAAAAAGCCCGGACTTGGCGTCTCAAGCAGGCAGTCAGGCAGGCAGCGTGGCTGCTTGGCGCCAAAGTGGAATGGCCATCGCTACCCTGTGGTTGGCTGCAGCCCCGTGCCGTGCCGGCCTGCCTGCCGGGCCTGCAGCACGCAGTGCGACGCAGTGCCAGTGCGACAGTGCAGTAGTCATGCGTGCCGTGCCGGCCATGCCGCCCTTGCTAATTGGCCACACCGCCGCGAAGACGCAACTCCACCGGCCCTCTGATTCCGAGGGGCCAGCTCTGTCTCTGACGCACCATGTCGCACTGGTGGGGAGCGAGAGAGACGACCAGCCCCGCTCGGAATCAGACGGCTGGATGCAGTGCACGGCCTGGAACGGCCACCACGCCGTCGACCGACAATTATAGACGCCCTCTTTGTTTTCCCTTTGGCCACGACGTGCCGGCCGCGGCCAGCGGCTTGCCAGCGGTGCTCCGGCCCTCCGGTCGCTCTGTCCCCCTCGCACTAGAGGCGCGTCCCGTTGGCCCCGTGTCGGGCTGCGAGAGAGACAGAGCGACCGGCGCGCCGCTCGAAACCGACAGTCTGACAGGTAACACGACGCCAGCCAAACTACGGCGCGGCAGACAAGTTGGACGTCAAAAGGTCCGGTGAGTCGGGGCCGCCCCGCCGCCGGCACCACGGCCACTACGCGCTGCCCCGTCCGTCCGCGCCCCCGCCCTTGGCTTCGTGGCGCGCTATTTTTGTACGCGAGAAAATAATAACATTATACGAGTCGAAAATTGAATGTCGGCCTGCGTAGTTATTGTTCTGCGAGGCCGCAGGAAGTTGAAGCGTCGAGGGGAGGGGGAAAGGGGTGGTCGGGGTGGGGTGGGCGGAGAGGGAGTAAGCCGACACCCCGCGCCGTTCACTGCGTGCGACTTGAAGCGACAATAATTGGAAGCGTTTTGGGCCCACGCTCCACCACGCCCCGCCCCGCCGCGCCACGCCACGCCACGCCCCGCCGTCAAGTCGCAAATTAGACATCAAAATGGTTTGGGGGACTGGGCTGGCAGTTCCGGCAGTGCTGCCACATTCCCGGTTCCGGTCGGCCGGGGGGCGGATCATGTTCGCGACGCACCGCGAGGCAGCGCGACGCGCGCAGTCGACTCGGAACTAATCATTCGGGGCGTGGAGTCGTGCCGAGCCGAGCGCGGGGAGTACATCAAGACCTCCCTCTCCGAGCCGCACCTACACGACCACCGTTTTTGCCCGGGGGCTCCGCCATGGCTCCGCTGCCGGACTCTGGCCGTGCCGAGCAGCGCGCCGGGACTCCGCTCGGCCTGCTTGGCGACGCGGGGCGCGTTCCGAAAGGGGGGCGTTTCGGACGCGGACGAGCCGAGGGCTGCCAAGGCGGCTCTTCCGCAGAAAAAAGAGAGAGAGAAGGGAGTGGGCAGATCCTCCAGCCCCGGCCGCCTCGGCCAGAGCGCGGCACGTCTGGAGCCACCAGGGCGGAATGGAGGCTCAAGGCGCACCCTGCCGACGATCTAGATTAGGAGCTGCACTCATTTCGGCCCACACTCCCAACACGCGCTGAGGAAATGATGCAAAAACGACAAGGCGAGCGTCACTCGGAGGGAAGAACTGGGACGTTTGTCATGATCCCAACCGTATAACGTACTCTATGGAGTGAACCGCCTGTATACAACTTTGATGGGCGTGCGCAAGTTAAAAACAAAATACAAAAAAAAGAAAAGAAAAGTTGCACAAATAAATAGCGAGAATGGAACCCGGGCAGCGGGAGTTAAAATAACACACCCCTGAACCTACGGTACGCCGACACGATTGCCGAGTCTCCAGAGAAGGGAGCGCCCAAAGTCAACCCCATACGTAGTGATTTCCCGGCGAGACTGCGCGCAGAGCTGGAAAGTTTCCCCTTGAACCGCGGCGCGGTGCGGGCACACTCGCTGAGGCGGCAGCGCCGCAGGACGCACCGATAGGGCAGGACTGGAGACTGGAGGACTTTCTGGGACGGCAAATGGAGCAGAAAACGCAGCCAGCTCTGCCAGTCCCGGCGCCGT